ACTCAGAGGAGAAGAGACTCCGGGCTGTTGAGTTAACCCATCCCGTCTGAGGGGTAGCTGCCTCTCCCCTCCCTGATGCTTTATTTTGGTTTGTGTTTGTGTGTTTGTCTTGCCCTGTGTCTCTGGGGCTGCTTGGTTTTCCTTGTTACCATGTTGTCTTCAGATATTGGGGGGTGGGGTGGGGTTACCCTTGCTGATCCCGCCATCCCCCACGTCTGCCCTGGGCTTTGCTTTGGTGACAGGAGCTGTCTGCTAAGAGCACTGTCAGGAGGTGCCCTGGCCTGCAGTGACCTCTGACTACTGTCTGCTGAGGACAGACTGGCTTTTACCAAGATTCCAGTGTGCCATTTTCATCTGCTCAATCTGGTTGATCTGCCTTCTCGATCTGTGTGCCCGGGGCCCCCGTTCTCTCAGCTTGCACTTCCCGGGGCGGGGAGGCTCCCCTGATTTATGAACCGGGTGGGGTCCATTCATTTCAGCTGGACTGGGATGCACGCTGGCTCTCACATGCCAGAAGTCTGAGCCCAGCCCAAGGTTGCTGGAGGAGTCAAAACAGTGGCTTTAGCGAGAGAAGGCAGCACTAGACACTAGATTCTCTGCTAATGTATCTAAAAAAAAAAAAAAAGAGGGGCCGGAGAGAGAGAGAGAGAGAGAAATAGTGTCCAAGAAGTCAACCCCAGTAAGGACACTCTGCTCTTCAGTGGTTGAGCCAAGACAGCCCTGAAGACGGAGGAAATGGTAAACATGCACCACACTTTGGAGACAATGAGTGAGATCAAGAAGACATGACAGGAACGCATCCTGGCTCAACGAGGCTGATTTTCTTCACGAACCAGATCGCCGCACCTGCCCCAGATTCGGTGGCTCGGGGCATGTGCGCACCTCCCCCACCCTCAGGTGCGGGTCCAGGAGTCCAGAAGTGACGGCCGTTCCTCTGCCTGCAGGCACTCACTCATTCCTTCTGTCACTGATGGAGCGTCTTCCGTGTCACCCCCGGTTTTAGGGGTTAGTGGATACAGCGGTAAGAGACAGACGGTCCTGCCTTACTGGGGCTCTCATTTAACGGGGTTGCTGGGGAAGAGGGAATGGTCTGTAAACAGCTACATACAACAGGCGGGTTGCACATGGCTAGCTCCTTTGGGAGCTGGACACAGCAGTCGTGGTGGCGGCTGGGGTGGCGGTCTGGTTAGAGAAAGCATAGTCCGAAACACGTAGAAACTGCAAGCTGGTGGCGGCAGAGGTGAGTGGTGGCCAGAGCCACCGGTCTTCCGGCCGGCGGCCTCCGTGACGGATCCCACGGAGTGGTGACCCAGGCTGGGCCAGTCCGGATGGAAGCTCGGGGGGGTCCGATGGCGTGTCCGGTGATCTGTGATGGGTGCGCCGGCCTGGAGGCTGCGTAACAGGACCCAAATCAGGAAGCGAGTGCCAGAGGCTCTTTGATCCGGAAACATCTCTTTACATCTTTTCCTTGGTTAGGAAACTGGCCCAAAGATGCCAGAAAACTGTAATCTGCACAGCATGAGGTCCATGATATCTGGGTTTCCAACAAAGAAGAAGCTTCTGCCTCTACTCTAGGCAGATGAGCAGATATCGACTTACCTACGGTGTGACAGCTCCTGGGGAGAGACCAAAAGCAGCCTGCCAAGTGTCGACTGCTGGACCATTTAATTCCCATGTGCCTTCGACGCCTGGTTGTTGATAGCGCTGATCCCACCGGGGGGGGGGGGGGGGGGGGAAGGGAAGTGTGCCCACCAACAGAAGCAGAGCTTTGTGGGTAATCGCTGGCTGGCCTTGAATTCCCAAGAGAGAACCAACGAGGCCTCTTCTGGACTCCGCTCCTATTCAAGGCAGATGAGGTGTTCCCTTGGGAACCCTAGCGTGTCCCCAGAAGGGTCAAGTAGGCATTTCCCCCAGTCTTTGACAAGAGTCCTGTCTCCTGGAGCGGGGCGGGGAGGTGGGGAGAGGCGGGTGTCAGAGACTCCGGCTCCAGCAGAAAGAGGAGGGAGGCTCCTGTCACACCAGGGTCAGCAAGGAGGAAGAGCTTTGCTCTCTGCCCCTCTCCTGCCTCCAACTTAGGGCAGAAAAGTGCCAAGTCCCAGCTATTTTCTTAGCAGACAGGAGGCGGGCACGACAGTGGAGGGGGTCACAAGGGTGAACTCAGAGGGACATCCAGTCCTGCACGTACTCAGAGCAAAGCGTGGCTCCCAGGAGTCTCCCCTTTCTCTTTGGGCATGTGCGGAGTGGGACACTCCAGGCACATGCACTTCAAGGTCTCCCTCCTGGGCCAGATGGGGTCCACATTAGGTCTGAGAAGAAAAGCTGATCCCAGGAGCAAGCAGAGCCATTCCCCTTACAGCCTTTGGTGAAACGTGGTTTTATCTTTATGATGGACACAGTGGCTTTCCTGAAGTAAAAGAAGTCGGTGCAGTCTCTCCCCAGGGTCAGAAGGAACACTGTGCTGAGCACATGCTTTTACAAAAGCTAATTAAGGGGCCGGATGTGTCCATTTTCCTTTTCATTCGTAAGCTGCGCTCTAGAATAACCGGCCTCCCTGTGAAATCCCGTTTCGTATCTCAAGCCTTTCCTCCTGCACGTGTGGGCCCCAGACCTACCCTTGTACTTGACAGACGTGCGGCCTGAAGGGCCTTGAGTAAAAACTGATTAGTCCAGAGAGCATGTCCCAGGCTGTGTCCAGGAGGTCACTACTTCCATGCACTGGGCGGGAGGCGTTCCCTTCGAGAAAGGACCTGCGCCTGCTTAGTGGGTTAGGGAATCACCAGTGGAAGCAAACCCGGGGTTTTTAATTTTTACTTAACTTTGAGTCCCATGAGGCCATACCGCGCGCATGTGTCTGGTGATGGCCCAAGTGAGCTCTCGCGTAGACAGGACTTCCTGAGGATTCCCTGTTCAAGAACATGCTTCACCCACCTGGGGAGTGCTATGGGCATTCCTTAGGGAAGATGGTCAAGGTCAGAGGCCATGGCAGGTGTGAAGAAACGAGGCGCCCTGGGCAGCATCCTGGGGCCTGGGGAGAGGGGTGGTCACAGGAGCCTGAAGTCCACGTTCCACACCAGGACGTATGCCACCGGGCTTTGGGGAGGTGGAGTGGCCACCTGAGAACAGGGTGCCCTCAGGGCGCTGGGGGGGCGGGGAGGGGAAGTTCTTACATTGAAGATCCCTGGAGAGAAAGCTGGGTCTTAGTGTTGAGAAGCTGGGACTTGATCTGCTGCACAGAGACACGGTGTGCCCGCCACTGGAATTTTCCAAGAAGGAGAGCGACAGGTCGGGGAGGGCGGGTCATAGCTCTTCTTCTTTTATTAATAATAACTATGCTCCTTATTCTTTTGGGCGTACAGGTATAAAAAACCCAACGCGCTCACTTTCACCATCTTGCAACAGAAATACCAACTGCCTTCTAACCCTCCGCTAGCTCATAAAAGTGAGGTCCTGCCACGTCCTGTGTAAACTCGGTACAAGGTGATGAAATACATTACATCACACATACTTCTGCTCTTATGTACTGGTTTATTGCAGCAGGAAGAGAGAATGGAGGCATTTTGCAAACCCGGGGGCTGCAACAGGGCGTGGGTGTTCTCTGCACACATTCCTACGCCCTGTGCCCCGCAATACAGGACCAGGATGCAGCCAGGAGGTAACACGCAGATAACTAGAAACAGGGGGCACTTGTTCTCTGCAATCGCTTCAGAGAGTTTTGAGACCGGGCATGCGGCAGTGACTGTTTAAACGCTGCCTTAACTACTCCCAGAAATGAATCCCTACAGAGCAGTGGTGCCCCCGCAGCCCGAGGAAGGAAAACACATCAAACATCGAGACCTTCAGGCAAGTGGGGTTCGACAGCAGATAAGGAGCATACGTAAGGGACGGACGGATGGATGGACGGAAGGGCCCACAGGGGCCTGGCTACAGGTAAGCTCGCCCAACTCCCGGGACCAAGAGTCCGACCCAAGCCTCTGGCTTTCAAAGCCACTGGATGTCCAGATGCAGATTTCTGGGTTCAGAAGATACCGGGAGAGAATGGTGTTTTCCACCGAAAGGATGAGAATGTGAGCTCTGTGGCTGGCAAGACAGCTCACCTTTTTTCTGTTTTCCCTTCTTGGTCGGCCTTGAGAAGCCATGCAGCAAACTGGCGGCCAAAGGGAGACAGGAAGGGGTCCGAGCCCAGCAGCCGGCTGGTATGAAGTCTAGCGTCACCCTTCCAGAAAGAAGACACTTCAGACACCTCCTGTATTTTCAAGTGAACTATAAAGATGCCTTTGATTCCTGGGAGTTTTTGAAATGCTGCTATGTCACGGGGGTGGGCCAGGGGCGGGCAGTCACGTCTGGGGTCCCCTAGGCAACGGTGTGGAATTCTCCCTTCGAGATGGGCCAACAGCACATCCTTCGTGTTCTGTTATTGTTTGGGGGAGTATGCGGTTGAGAATGTATGTGAGAAAGCGGGATCGGGGCCCTGGCTCTTACACGGGGAGGGCTGGCAGTGTGCATTTCCTCCGACGGGACGTGGCCCTCCGGGGACCTGAGGACACAGGAGCTCCAGACAGGGTACCCGTGATCAACGCATCTGGTCACCAGTGCGCATTCCGACTTGCGGGCCGGGTGTGTGTGTGTGTGTGTGTGTGTGTGTGCGCGCGCGCGTGCGCGTGTGTGTGCGCGCGTGCGTGTGGCCAGAAAAGGAAGACGTGGCCTTGTACATCTACGCCAAGAAGAAAATCAACGGGGGGGAGGAGGGGGAAATTAGGGGGGTCGGAGGAAGAAATATACAAGGACCCTTAAAGAGAAAAATACTCTCTTTGTATTATTAATCACCTGAGCCAACCTGTATCATGTTTGGGGAGGATTCTGGATGTTACCATTAAAAAAAGGAAAACCGTTGACGATCACGGAGCACCAAATCATTTCACAATCTCGTACTAACCCCGCGATTTCCCTTCTCCCGGCTCTAGAATTGCCGAAACATTCTGGTCTAAAAAAAAAAAACAAAAAAAAAAAAAAAAAAAAAAAGTTGTGCGTCTCCCCTTACGTTGTTTGCCCCAGGCGCACGCGCGTCAGCCCCGAGGCTCCCCCCTGGCGCAGGCGCCCCCTGGCGGCCGCTTGCAGGTGAGCATGAGCAGCAGCAGCAGGGGCAGGTGCCAGAGGCTGCAGAAGAACAGCTTCCGGGAGCTCTTCCGGTCCGCGTCCGCGTAGAACCGGAAGCCGAGGTAGGAAATGTACAGGTTGATGGGGAGGGAGATGGCGGGGAAGGTCCACGTGGTGACATCCAGGACGGGGGCGGCCGCGCACAGTCCGATCAAGGCCAGGCAGTGGCGCAGGGCGACGCGCCTGCACAGGGCCGGGTGGGTGACCGACATCATGCAGTAGCCGCCGCGCGAGTAGTCTTCACGGAGGCCCCAGCTCAGGGCGTTGAAGTGGGGGAACTGCCACGAGTAGAGGATTCCTCCCAGGAGAAACGCTCCTGTGTGCGGTTGAGGGGAGAGGGGAGGCAAAGACACGCTGTCACCAGAGGTTTACAAAGGCGTCGCTTCCTGTCACCCGCAAGCCCGGCTGGCCCCGGGGTGGCCCCTCCGGATGTCACCCGGGTCCCAGAGTCTCTGCCCGTCCGGTTCTCGCCTCCGCTAGTCCAGGGTGGCCTGGCATCGGGGGGGCGAGCCCGGGGGAGGGGGTAACCGCGCGCTCTCCTAGACCCCTCCCACCCCCGCCGCGGGGCACTGAGCATCCGCGGCTCCCGTCCACCCAGCGCCCGCCGTGTGTCCCAGCATCGCGACAGGCAGAGGCCCCTACCCGGGCGGGGCCTCTGCGCAGGAGGCTTGGGCGGGGCAGAGGGGGACTCCCCCACAAGGGCCCCCCTCCCCACCCCAGGCGGCTGGCGGCTCCCTGCCCGCGGCGGCAGTACTGAACTAGCCCCAGGCCCTCGGTGAGCGTCTGGCTTTTGTCCGTGTCCGGACTGCGTCACAGTGCACGGCCGGGGCTCCCAGGGCAGGTGTCTGGCACATTCCACGGGGCAGGCGCCGTGTTGCATGCAGGAGGCACTAAGACGGCACGTGTCAAATGAACGGCGTGGCATGACGGCACCCGGTCCCCTGCGCAGAACGAGAGCTTGTGTGTGGCTCTGTGGTTTTTTCGAGGACATATCAGTATCTCGAGCACCACTGAGCCCCTGTCTGTCTGGAACAGGGCCGCCCTTCCCCCACAGGGGTGGGGTGAAGGCCGCCAAGTGCACCTATCAGGTGACAGAGTCTTTCCCACAGTTTACCTCATTTAACCGTGACTAGGATGTTAGGTGGGGTTCATGCTCAGTAAGTGAACCTGCCCCCTCACAGATCTGATGATGTTAAATTCTGCAAAAGGAGGTGAGGGCAGGGATCGGAACAAGCCCGGGTGATGTGAAGAGGGCCTCCCTCCAGCCAGGTGGCCCACTCCTGCACAGGAGAGATGACTCTGCTCGCTTCCTCCCGCAGACAGTGCTCACCGAGCACGTACTAAGTGGCCAGCGCCGTGCCTGACACTGGGGACAGGATGGGAAGCACACACCCACCCCTCCAGAATGTGTGTGCAGTCGCGGGATTCATCAAGAGCCACGCTTCTGAGTTTTGGTCGCCGCTCAAGTGCTGTGCAAAGTCCATGAAATGAGGACACAGAACAAGACCTAGTGGAGGCAGGCAGATAAGGCCTCTCAGAGGAAGGAAGGGATGTCCCCGCTGAGCTCCGCGGGACAGGTGACCTAGTCCCGTGAGGGCTGGCGGAGGGAGAAGTGGTCACATAGGAGCGGAAGATGCGTGGCGTAGACGAGGTATTAAAAGGAGATGAGAATGTGTGTTAGGTTCACAGGGCTGTCTCTTGAAAGAAAAACAGTCAGCTGGACTGTATGATGATTTTAAAAAATCAAAACTAGAAAGGGGGAGCTTAGTGTGGCTGGAGGCACAGGCAGAGTGCACCACCCCCAACTCAGCGGGCTGTGCCTTGCACGTAAAGTACTGGCTTGATCCCCAAAGTAACAGAAGGCCATGGAGGCATGGGAACATGTTTAAGCGTGTGTGTGTGTGACGAAAGGGCATTGATGTCACTTGGCCAATTTGAGGAAGAAGACACTGGCGGGGCCCAGAGCAGATACGGAAAGTTCCATCAGGCTGAGGAAATCAGAGGTGACAGGTGTTGGGATCAAGGTGATTACAGTGGGGGGCAAGAGGGACTTGGGGGGGGGGCTTTGGGAGGCCAAGGGACAGGGCGCGTGTGCAGAGTGAAGTAAGGAGGGGAAGGAGCAGGCACCCCCTAGGTTTAGGGGCCCAAGGAGACGCCGGCCATCCTATGAGATGAAGACGAGGAAGACGTGGAGAACAACGTGGGAGCCTGACCTTGGGGGTGTTCATCCTGATATGCCTCTGGGACATCCAGCTGGTGACCAGGCAGTTGCAAAGAGGGGCCTTGAGTGAGGATACGCCTCTGGGAGCTACTCACACCTGCATCTCCCCCTGGGTCAGCCCTGGCGTCCAGTCATTCATTGTTTCTGTTTCCTGCTTGAACGCAAAATTCTTTAAGGGATTTTTAAATCCCTTGGCCTTCTCCTTTGCGTCTCTGGGCAGAATACAGAAAGCGCTCAATGTTGCTGCAGTGGAGGGTCCTCAGAGGCATCAGTGTGAAGCCACACAAAGAAAGGCTTTACTAAAAGCCACCCGGGATTGGTGTGTTCCCGCACTGATTTGTGAGCCCACAGGGTAAACCAGACTCGGTACCTTGCTCCTGATCCTGAAGTGTCCCCTGGGGGGTCCCCTGTCGGCGGGCTGGGGGCTCCCTCACCCGCTGTGTCACCTGCCCTGGCCAGCACCATCCCGCACAGAGAGGGTGAGAATCTGTCACCAGTCGTGTTTCAGGTAACGAGGCTCTTTTAAGCCACCCTGCCTGTGGGAATGGTCAGAGGAGGGGGTGGGCACTGTAGTAACACACAACTCGGTGGGAGAGAAGGCAGTTCAGATAATTCTGAGTCGTTCAGAAAACCAGGCTGGGGCTCGGGGGTCCTGAAGGGGCCCTGGTGTGCACACGCGGAGGCGGATCAGAAGGAACGAAGCCTTATTTTAATCTCTTATCTGTATTCCGCAACAGCGTGGGCTGCCGAGGGACCCAGGGGGTGGGCTTTCCCGACCCCTAAAAGATAGAATGGTGGTTTTTTGTTTTACTCCTATTGTTCTGGGCAGAAACTCGCCCATTTCCGAATTCAGTGTGTCAGGCAGTTGCACCATATCAAGAAGAGCTTGCATGGGTGCAGACGGGAGAGGAAGGGGACCAGCTTTTGGATCCAGTAGGTTCTGTGTGGGTTCCATGAGTCGGTCAGGTCCCTTTCAGCCTTCAAATACAGCAAAGGGAGAGATACCTGATGGGAGAGCCCCTATTTCAGCAGCCAAATCCCTCAAATCCACTTCAACCCTGTCTACAAACAACACCATACAGACATTTCAGCTCAGGTAAACACGCTCCGATTCTCACGCTAATAGTGGAAGCAGCCACTACGTGCGGAAGCCACTCACTTGGCGACTAGGTGGCGGGTCTACCGCAGGCCAGGCACCATTCCAGACGTGAGACGGAGCCCTGCTCCAAGTCTGGAGGGAGGGGCAGGCATAACCCATGTGACAGTGATGAGTGCTATTCGCAGTCGGGACAGGGGGACGTGATGGGGGCGACTGGACACAGATGGCTCAGGGACAGCCTCCCCAAAGGCGACAGGCACAGCACGGCCTGAGTGGGAGGCGCACCGCATCAGGTCCCGCGAAGGGTCGCCTTGGGTAGGCTTCTAGGACCCGGGACGGCGTGGAGGCCGCAGTGAGGGACAGTGTGGGGCGGGGCCGCGTGGGCACCTGTAGACCAGGTCAGGTATCACGGGAGGGGTGGGGGCGGCAGACACCGATCCTTGGACCCAGGTGGGGACCCTGGGGACACGCACAGGTGAGTGTGCTCATGGTGGATGCACGTAGAGCTCTGCTTTGGGCCCTCTGAAGTTTGAGGTGCCCCCAAGACATTCCAGTTAAACGCTTTGTGGCTATCACATGCCCCGCATGGAGGGGCGGGGGACGAATTATATATACAGTCTCTCACGCTCACGACAACCTTCTCACGCGTGCCATTACTCTCCTCTTACAGATAAGATTCATTAACGTGCCCACCCAGGGATCTTCAATACGACGGCCACAGGGTACCGGCACCTTCTTTTATCTATCTACCTATCTATCTATCTAAAGTTTTAATTTATTTACTTGGGAGGTGGAGGGGCAGTGAGAGAGAGAGAGACAGAGAATCCCAAGCAGGCTCTGAGCTGCCAGCACAAAGCTGAACACAGGGCTTGAACCCATGAACTGTGAGATCATGACCTAAGCCTAAACCAAGAGTCGGACACTTAACCAACTGAGCTGCCCAGGCACCCCGACCAGCACCTTCTTTTCGAAAGCTATTGCCATCCAAAGATCCACAGGGATTGCGAGGAGGCGGCTGCCGCGTGCTGGGTAGGCAGCAGGCTTGCTGCAAGGAAAAAAGTGCATCTGCTGGCTTATTAGGGGTCCTAGGACCTTAAAAAATAGTTTGTTTCCACTAGAGACAAACAGACAATAGTTGTCTTGACAGGGAGTACCCCTGGGGAACTGGAAAGGACAGAAGGGAAGGCTGGATGCCTCCTCTGTGCGCTGGTGGAAAAGAGGATCTTAAAGGGACCAGTAAAGAGGAGGCCCTGGTGGGTCCTCAGGGACTTGGGGGCCCTCTGAGGTCATGACCATCCCCAGCCCACCCCGGCTCAGCTCAGGACAGGGCTCAGCCCCGAAGGGTCTGAGCAGATTCCAGGCCGCAGTGAGGACAGCCGGGGCACAGGGGAAGGCGGGCAAGGGCAAGGCTGGGACATGTCCTGGCGGGAGAAGGGACTTTGGTGATGACAGAGAACAGGGGGAGGGACTCGGGGAGGCCGGAGCGCCCTAGCTGTTCGGCGGTTGAAAGGGCTGAGGAAGAGTCGATGCAGCCGGGGAAACCCGACTGGAAAGGGTTAAGACGATCAGGGCCCCAGTGTGGGCTCTTGCTCGCCTCTCTCAAAAGCCCTCTCTTTTTTGTGTGCCAACTGGAGTCTTCTGTTTTGCTCAATATGCATTTTCGGTTATGCTTCTGCTTAAAATAACATAATTAAAAAAATCATTTTCATAAGAGTAGCATGCTGCTTTTCTATGCGAGAGGAAATTGGGTGTGGGTTTGGCTCATGTCACAAATGAAAGAGCTTTAGAAATCACAGCTTAGCCTTAATGGATCCTAATCAGAAAACCACCACCCCCACACGGCTCTACGGGCTGGACTGTGTGCAACTGCCTCTGCTAGCAGGAAAGATGTAAAACAAATTGCTCTCTTCATCAAGATAAGGTGACCCGGAGCAGGAGAGCTTGGATTAGCTCTGGGGCTGCGGTGGAGCCCACCTTCCTCGTGGGCTAAACACAG